CCCCAAAACCCCAAAACCCCAAAACCCCATTGTAGCAAAATTAAGTAATAATACAGCTATTATTGAAATTAATTAGAAAATTTTTCTATACAATTTGAAACTCAATTTTAATATCTGAGTATCAGTATTTACTGCTAGAACCTTTTCAATTTTTCGTCTGCAATCAGCCTCTTCTAAAACTATACCTATCACCGTCTCTACTCCCACTTCTATCTCTGTAAAAATCACCATCAGCACCTCTTCTAGTGAATCTATCATTACTTCTTCTTCCACCTCCAGTTCTTTCATCAGTTCTATCAGCAATTCTTTAGCCACTGCCAAAATATTTATCCCCACCATTTCTAATTCTATCTCTACTTCTACTTCTTGAGAAGCTAATACGAGGTCTTCTACGTTCTCTGCTATCATCTCTTTTCTTAAAACTTGGTATTTCACCTCCTCTAGTATTCCTATCTCTGTTACGGTCATCATATCCACCACCTCTTGATCTCGATCTAGAATTTCTTCTATATCTACCGCCAACTCGATTCTCTGGACTTCTTGAACCATCTCGGAATCTCCTACTTTCATCACCGTATCTTCCTGATCTTCCAGATTGAGGATACCTTTTCGGCTTGCCCATGTATCTTCCAGGTGTGGCTTCTCTTGGCTTAAGTCTCTTAGACTTTTCGACAATTATCTCCCTTAAATTGAAAGTTGATTGTTAATGAATTTACTTACTTTCCGTGAAGATTGTGCTTGTGAAGCTATCGTTCAGCTTCTTCAGCTTCATCTTTGTTCTCGAATATTACAAATGCAAAGCATCTGGACTCACTATTTTTGAAAGGTTATTGATTTAGTTGAAATAAGGTTTATTTGAGGATTATTGGATTAATCTTCTTCTTATTGATGTGAACTCTCAGAAGTTTTGGGGAATTTTGAGAGTTTTAGTCAATTAGTATTTTGAGGAGAAGTTTGTTGCTTTTGTGGTACATACCTGGTGATGGGGTCAATTACTACTGTGCATTTTTGCAGTTTGCCATATTTCTCGAAGAGCTGCTCAAGATCTCTGTCATTGACTCTCTTTGACAAATTGGCAACATAGAGGCAGACTCCTTCATTGTTCTTAGCTGAGTCATTACTCTTTGATCTGCGATGCTTGTCATTAGATCTGGTTTCTGAGTGACTCTTGTCTCTATCCCAAGAAGATAAATTCTTGTTAGGACTTCTACTTTTAGTTTGCCTAGAATTTTATGAGTTAGAAATGAAATTACTCAGGATTGTTGCCAGCAGATTACTCTGCTTCATTAGTTTATCTCTCCCTACTCTCTATTTAAAGCATTAAAATTTAGATGAGCTTACGACTTCTATTGTTGGACTGAAAACTAGACATGCTATTGGATCAATTTTTAACTAATTAATTAAATTATAAATTTTTGATAGATCTCTTTTTAGACAAGAATGCTATCATTTGGGGTTTTGGGGTTTTGGGG